TTTTCTTATATTTTGCTCAAACGTACATTTTACTATGCTTTTTTCAATATTACAATAAAAATGTGGGTCCATGCAGTTGCTACTTTTCAGGCTATAAGTCGCGCAAACTTGCCCAATTTTGAATAGATTATTCATGAAAAACCCTTTTTTATGAATAAAAAGAAAAACTTCTCAGAGAGAATTTTTAAATAAAATATGAGTAGATTAGTTTTAAAATATTCTTTAAAAGTATAAAGAAAACGTTGTGTCACCGTACGTGTTTTCTTGCTACAAGTAAAAAATGAAAATTTCATAAACTATAAGAGTTATTTCCCTTTATATTGCTAAGTTAAACCAATAAAGTCTTACACATTACTTTCCATTTTGTCTCAAAATTTTAAGATTTGCAGATTTCAGCAAAGAAGCGATTGTGTACCGCTATTTTATAATACAAGATGGTGGTATACACACATATAGCAGATATTCTATATGAAGTAGTTTTAATCTTGTTGTAAGGGTGAGCACTTGAGTTTGATATTTGTCTCATGAATTAGAGATGGTAAGCCATGAAATACGGTCTAAAACGGTTTACAATCACATAAAGCATGCAATGGAAACAACTGGAAAGTTGACACCTCTCGTCAGACAGTAACCCTTGCTAGGGGACGTTCGGCTGTATAGAGAGGATGTATATGAATCTTACTTCTGTCTATTTTAAACGGGTTCGTTAAATTTGATAATCCGAACTTGAGGAGCGATAGAAGAAACGCTTGTGACACCTTATTGACAGGTCCATGAATAAATTGTTGCAATGCACAATATCTGATCCTACAAAACATTTTTGACCCATTCTTTCATCCCATTCGGCATACTTTGAAGAACATAGCTTACTTCAATACTAGTTATTTGTCATATTGTATATGTCATCATGTATGTTGTACACTTGGATTACGCAATTTATCATATTTGTGCTTTATCTAAATTTGAATTTTGAATTTAAATTTGTAAATCGGATCTCGTCTTGAAATGCATGAAGTATTGGCAACTTTATACGCAAACAACCATGCATAAAGTATTGGCAACTTTATACGCAAACAACCATGCATAAAATATTGGCAACTTTATACGCAACCAACCATGCATAAAGTATTGGCAACTTTATACGCAAACGACCATGTATAAAGTATTGGCAACTTTATACGCAACCAACCATGCATAAAGTATTGGCAACTTTATACGCAACCAACCATGAATAAAGTATTGGCAACTTTATACGCAAACAACCATGCATAAAGTATTGGCAACTTTATACGCAACCAACCATGCATAAAGTATTGGCAACTTTATACGCAAACAACCATTGCATATATCAAGCAGTAAATCAGGATATAATACCCACTGTACAAAATCTTCTGGGTATATTCAAAATCAATGTATAAATATATTGGTCATATTGGGAAATCACCTTTTCAAACGTTTATCTTCGGGTCAATAAGTAACTTGCTTTAGAACAACCTCCGTGCCAATGAAACTGGTGGGTTGATCTAGGCCAGCTTTTCAGGCACCTAACATCCCATGGTTATATCAGTCATTAATGGGGGGAAAAAATCAGTTTTAAACTAATTCACATTACTTCACTTACCATCAAAGATGTCCAGATTCCAACCATTCATTGATACTTCGCTACTCCAAAAACTTATAAACAACAAAGTTGTCCTTTATATTTGAATTTATTATGAATGACATGACTAGTTACATATTATGCTACAATTGCTACGCTTGCATTTATTTCTTTACATTTAATACACCATTTTATTCTGTTTTATGAGATTTGATTACGGATAGGTTGGCATGAATACCAAATATTGCATGCACCAGTGATCTTAATACTATGTTGTATTGATGCTCTTATACTAACATCATTCTGTCTGTGATGCAGAACGTCTCATAATAATACTTTGTGACTAAAACGCTTCAAAAATATTAATGAAAAAAAATATACGGTTGCTCTAACTGAGGGCCGGATTGGACAGCGGTCCCTGATCACCACTTTCCTACCCCCTAACTCCCACTTCCCTCCCCCTTACTCCCAAACAAAAATCGGTAAAAAAAATTTCCTAGATTGCAGAATATCCCAATTTTTCGCCCCCTCTTCCCCAGTTCCCACACCCTGACTCCCACTTCCCTCCCCCCGGACCCCTGCTCTTCCCCTGACTTCCGCTTCCCACCCATTCATTCCCATGTTCCCTAATCCTTGTCCATTCCCTCCTAACTTGTATATGGAGCAATGAAAGAAGTCCCGATTGAAACGATAAAAATCAGAAAACTGTGAAAAAAAATCAAATCGGGCTTCTTTTTCCGTTGTCAGATTGTGATCGTTAAACGTCAAAAGAGATGACTGAGTTTGTCATTTACAAATCTTGCTCAGCAGCTTACCTGTAATCGACGACCTTCTTTCAAGGAAATCGTGATAGTTACTGCATCAACTAAGACATTTACACCAAGATGTCGTTAAATGAAATTAGATACTCTGCATTTAACATGCTTTTCAATAACATATGGTCAAATCGCTGAAAGACCCCCTCCTTAATTATTGAAAACTATCATTCTGCATAGACAATACTAATATTGGTGTAAATTAGACAGGGGCGGATCTAGCCATTTTAAAAAAGGGGGGGGGGTTCCAAAAATAAGATGTGGTATGATTGCCAATGAGACAACTATCCACCAAAGTTCAAATGAAGTGGATGTAAGCAATTATAGGCAACCGTGAGAACAACCAATACCGTATGGTCGGCTAATTTGTTTTTGTTTTTCCCTAATTATGTCACGGAAAAAAGGTTCAGAACGCGTTTTAAAGATGAACGACAACATCTGATTTTTGTTTTATTTGATAAAACTAAATATAACATGAATAGATGTCGTATGATTGCTATCAAGCAAATTTCCATCAAAGACCATAAAAACAGGTCGTATACCGATCGATCGCTACTAGTAATACTTACACCTCCATGTGATATTCTTAACTTGCATACACCTAAATGATCTATTCCTAACTAGCATACACCTCAATGGTCTATTCCTAACTGGCATGCAACTCAATGATCTATTTTTAACTGACATAGACCCCAATATGCTATTCATAACTTGCATTCAACTCAATGTACCATTCATAACTTGCATTCACCTCAATGTGCTATTCCTAACTTGCATTCACCTCAATGTGCTATTCCTAACTTGCATTCACCTCAATGTACTATTCCTAACTTGCATTCACCGCAATGTATTATTCCTAACTTGCATTCACCTCAATGTACTATTCCTAACTTGCATTCACCTAAAAGTACTATTCATAACTTGCATTTACCTCAATGTACTATTCCTAACTTGCATTCACCTAAAAGTACTATTCCTAACTTGCATTCACCTAAAAGTACTATTCATAACTTGCATTTACCTCAATGTACTATTCCTAACTTGCATTCACCTAAAAGTACTATCCCTAACTTGCATTCACCTAAAAGTACTATTCATAACTTGCATTTACCTCAATGTGCTATTCCTAACTTGCATTAACCTCAATGTATTATTCCTAACTTGCATTCACCTCAATGTACTATTCCTAACTGGCATTCACCTCAATGTACTATCCCTAACTTGCATTCACCTCAATGTACTATTCCTAACTTGCATTCACCTCAATGTACTATCCCTAACTTGCATTCACCTCAATGTGCCATTCCTAACTTGCATTCACCTCAATGTGCTATTCCTAACTTGCATTAACCTCAATGTATTATTCCTAACTTGCATTCACCGCAATGTATTATTCCTAACTTGCATTCACCTCATTGTACTATCCCTAACTTGCATTCACCTCAATGTGCTATTCCTAACTTGCATTCACCTAAAAGTACTATTCATAACTTGCATTTACCTCAATGTACCATTCCTAACTTGCATTCACCTCAATTTTAACTTCACCAACGAATTTATTTATTACTTACTTCGTGATCGTATAAACTACATAATCTTTCGGAATTGTTTGTCTTTAATGCTCTTGCACTTCGTACTTTATTTGGCATTTTAACCTTTTTTTTATTCGAGCGAGTAGAATCTTGTAGACGAAACGCGCATCTTGCATACAACATGATAAGCCTGGTATCTTTTGATGAATGTTTAACCACAGATCATCAACCGTGCTACCCATCAATCACAGATCACTAACTGTGCTACCCCGCAATTACGAATTGTGCTTCTCCAAAATTTGATATACTTACTATACACATGTTTCATTTTGCTATTTCGACAATCTCATGTTTTTACACACAGATACTTAGGAGATAAAAGTATTGTATTTGAAGATTCCGGACTTCATTTGCCAAGTTTGATGGTAGCAAATTTACTAAACGGATATTTGCGACCATCAAATCAAAAATGGATACCCGCAAATTGTCAAATTCAATACTGTTAACTTCATTCTAAAGCACCTGATAGAAAACATCGATAAATCATATTTTAAAATCAGTCATTCAATGCACTTCCGTTTAAATTCAGACCATCAATCGTGGAATTAAGGTCTGAAATTTTAATATTTACAATCATAGTTTTATCTCCATTGAATTGCAAATTAATAATCATAATTTTCGACTTTAATCTATCAATTAACTATCATTTTAACCTTCTTCGCTGTAGCGTCATGCTATACATTTTTTTTTAAATATACTATATATTTTCACTTTATAAACTGTATATCAATATGTACTGGTGGAATACAATCACTTATTCATGATGCATTCATCTTAATCCATGTATAAAGGGGAGATATATCTGATATCATTGTGCTTTAAATAGCAATGTCAAAAAACAGGACGAAAGCTGGGCAACATTAAAGTATTACATGCATATAGTATGCTGTAGAAGAGGTCTATAACAATCAGCGAACATTGCTGTACATGTAAGGAAATCTTTCAATACTCGATGAGATCAAAATGTTTGCCTTTAAACTATTTACTACTTACAAAGTCTTCAATATCTGACCATGATCGCCTTTGATCATCCTGTCTTATAGTCATCTCAATGTCCACTTTTCTTCTTTTTTCGTTCACCCCTCTTTTAAGGTTTTCATGACCCAATAAACACTGTTTTTATGATGAATAAAAGTACACGTTTACAATTGTAAAATGTCACTAATCCGAAATAAAAATAAACTGTCCTGGTATTAAATTGTCACCCACAACCTGTTTCTAAATAAAATATAGCATTTTTTAAATAAAGACAACAAAGAAAGTGTGACGTAGAAATGTATCGTTGTCATTGATCATTTTAAATTTACTTTTGCAAAAGAAACGTGATCATTTAATTACGAAATAAGACAGATTTCTCAAGGGTTCTTAAATACTATATTTATAACAACTCATTACATACAATTTAAGCGCTTTATGAAATTTTTGTTGCCAAAGATTTTGGAAAGTTTTGAATTGCTAACATAGGCTATAGCATACATTGAAATAAACCTTGTAGATATTCTTCAAGATGAGAGGAATCATGTTTAACAATCAGTTTTGAAATGTCGTTCATTCAAGTTATGAATTGCAAATTATTACATCCCTTGTTCCTTTTGTCAAAAATTGTGTGAAGTGAGAAATATGAAATAATGTTGCATTTCTTCTTATGCAGTTCGTTACATGTATGCATTACCCTTCGGTTCTTATTTTTGTCGAGCCTTCGACTTTTGTCGAAAAAGCGAGACATAGCGATCCTACATTCCGTGAGCGTCGTCGTCGTCGTCGTCGTCGTCGGCGGCGGCGTCCACAAATATTCACTCTGTGGTTAAAGTTTTTGAAATTTTAATAACTTTCTTAAACTATCCTGGATTACTACCAAACTTGGACAGAAGCTTGTTTGTGATCATAAGATAATATCCAAAAGTAAATTTTGTAAAAAAAAAAATCCATTTTTTCCGTATTTTACTTATAAATGGACTTAGTTTTTCTGCCAGGAAACATTACATTCACTCTGTGGTTAAAGTTTTTTAAATTTTAATAACTTTCTTAAACTATCCTGGATTTCTACCAAACTTGGAAAGAAGCTTGTTTATGATCAGAAGATAGTATCCAGAAGTAAATTTTGTAAAAAAAAAATCATTTTTTCAGTATTTTACTTATAAATGGACTTAGTTTTTCTGCCAGTTAACATTATATTCACTCTGTGGTTAAAGATTTTAAAATTTTAACAACTTTCTTAAACTATCTTGGATTTGTACCAAACTTGGACAGAAGCTTGTTTATGATTGAAAGCTAGTATCTAGAAGGAAATTTTGTTAAAATTTTGTTCCATTTTTTCCGTATTTTACTTATAAATGGATTTAGTTTTTCTTCCAGTTAACATTACATACAGTCTGCAGTTTAAGTTTTTAAAACATTTATTAGATTCATAAACTATCCTGGATTTTTACCAAACTTGGACAGAAGCTACTTACAATCAAAAGATAGTATAGAGAGGAATATTTTTATTAATTTTTTTCCTCTTTTTGGTGAGCCTGTGATTAACAGCAAAAGTAGGCGAGACACTAGGTTCCGCGGAACCCTTACGAATTTTTATAAAATTTGAATGTATGTGTACATGATCGACATGATACTTATCTTTAGAAAATCTAGTGCTAGAACATTACCTCCCCTCTAAACACTAAAAAACGGCACCAGAACATCTACGTAGTTGAATCGCAAGGGGTCTAAGTCCCATCACGCAGGTACTAAGTCAGCCTCGTTCAATATGGTGCCCATTTAAACATATTTACATGCTCAGCTTAGGCGTTTCTTGCGTGGCTGTACTGTTTGAATCTTGATGACGTCTTCCAAGTTATGCCCGTTCTACGTGAGGACGCTACTGACTATAACGTTGTGGTAAATAGTAATAATGAAAAAAATAAAACAAAAACAGAATTACCATATTGTTATCATATCTCTCATAAATAAGCAAGCGATGAGAATAGAAGGCTATATGAGTTTTGTGTAAATTGATTTGAAATGTTGCTTTTGGAATAAATTCATCACGTACAAACCACAACTTATTTTTTACTGCCTGTAGATATCGCTAGAAATGCCAATGCTACAACATGGACAAAATCGTCAATAATTATTAATGTAATAGAAGTAATTGCCCTTAAAAAACGTGTTTACCCATTTTTGCGCGATTTTTTTTTAAAGAAAAATTGGAGAGCAAAATGTTTAGCAAATTAAGAACTACAAATTAGTCAAACAAGCCAGAAATCATTTCATAGAGAAACTTTAAATAGAAAATGTCGAAAAATGTTCAACAAAATGAGTCAACATGGACAAAATCGTCAATTGACCCCTTATAGAAGTTATTGCCCTTGTAAAATTAAGAAGGTTTTAACCATATTTGCATTTATTTTGCAGAAACCGTTATAAAGAGAACTTGATTGTAATTGACAAAGACGTTAAGCATAATACGATCTATAAATAAATCAACATGATCAAAATTTGCCAACTGACTCTGAAAGGAGTTATTGCCTCAGAATGACCATGTTTACCCAACGGTTATGATTATTTTGGCAGAGATTATGGTAGATAGAGAGCAACAATAAAAAGCAAACATGTTCAGCAAAATAAGATCTACAAATAAGTAAACATGTTTGAAATAATAAATTGATCCCTTAGTGGAGTTATTGCTCTTGAAAGATGATTTTACCCATGTTTGTGTAATTTGCAGAAACTATACTTGAAAAGATAGAGAGGAAAGACAGAAGCAAAAATGTACAGCAAAATAATTTCAACAAATAAGTCAGCGTGACCAAAATTATTAACGGGTTCCTTATATGAGTTATTTCCCTTGAGTGGTGATTTTTACCAATTGGCTAAAACTTTAGTGGATAGGGATGCGCTTTAAAAAGCAAAAAATATCCATGAGCAAAATAAGATCTACAAATGTATATTGACCTTAAATGGCGATTTTATTTCTACCAATTCCTACGATTTTGCCAAGTATTTCGAAAACTTTAATAGATAAGTATAAACTGAGACTAGTCTCAGGTATACACTGTTAATAGTAAAAATTATTATCAACAAATGATCTTCAAAACTGCCAATAAAGAAGATTTACAAATAAGTAAACATAACTGATTGTAAATTGCCAACAAATTGTGAGCGATTCAGGAGCGTATACACAATTTTACAAATATGTGCCGTGTAGAATGAAAAACTAAAGCATGTGTGTGTGTGTGGCAGCCAACATTCATCACTCTACTCTTGAATAACTTAAGTTTTAAATTTTATTGAGTGTAAAGAGTGTCTATATGTTTAATAGTTTCATAGACTTTATCAAATTTACACTCAAAGAAAGAAGACATGTGAAATTTTTCGGCAAAGGGGAGATAACTTGATTTCGAACACGTGGGTAAACAAAACAACATTTGAAATATATACAGTAAAATAACATTACAGCATAACAAGTAGGACATTATGGTAAAATAGTATGGCAGACAGTGATATAAGACATTTGTTTGAACAGTTGAATCTGACGGAAAAGACCGCTTTCTCCCTGGAGAAAACCAAAGAGGACTACATATTAGATATCTCTGTGCAAGAAAGGTATTTGGTATCTCTGTATACAAGACTCATAGAAAATTTGTCATTCGTTTAACATTTGAATTCGTGGTTCACCGGTTCCCACGAAACCCACGAAAATTTGTACCCAACGAATAATAATGAATCCACAGTAGTAGGTTTTTCAACTTCATAGCAAGTACAATGTTTTTTTATTTACTTGTCTTATACTTAAAACATGTAAAAATTACGAATTGTCTCCATAACTCCATGAATTAAGCAGACACTGAGACAGTTACTGGTACATGTCTTTATTTACCGGCCTATATGTAAAAAAATATAATAGCCTTTCAAGACGTCATAATTATTTGGACTAACCGGCATATATCCCCGGACAGTAACTGATTACCTTTCTAGAGCACATACCATCACCCCTGGTTTTTGTTGGGGTTAGTATGGCTAATTTTTTAGATTTTAATTTTTATTTGTGGACTTTTCTTTTCGTTGTCTTGCGTTTCTTGCCATGGTGTTGTCCACAGGCACTTGCCTGTGGTGTTGTCGGTTTATTTTTGACTTAAGTTTTGAATGTCAACTAGGTATCTTCCACCTTTGACATGCTTGTTGGCATTTCATTTTTCGAAATATGGTAAATAGTGTTGAACAAAGTTTTGTCATCATTTAAAAGGGTGAAGTGTGAGTCAGACTCTGCTTCATTTCCATCACATTCAATATCAGAATCAACTTTGGCAATGTGTAAATTTTTGTTAATGATATCCATATGTTTAATAAATCAAATCAAATCAAATCAAATATTTTATTGTCTATAAACTTTACAGTTTGTGACCAACATGTATAACACAATAAACATATATACATACATATATCAAACAAACACAATAAAAACAGCAAATTTTTCAGTAATACAGAGGTTTCTTTCGTTAAAATCAAATACGTTGTTACATACTCGAACAAATCGAACAAGTTGAGATATATAAACACCATAAATATGTTTACGAGGGATACAGCTTTGAGCTAGGGACAATTCCACCTGGGACCCAGATCTGCTATTTGATTTAACACTCTAGTTTTATAACAAAAGTAGATTTTCTAATATTACAAAAATAGATTTAATTTTCCGTGACAACAATTTATCGATTAGGGTAAATAACTTCAATGTAACAAAAACAGTTTGAAATTTTCATTCTTTAGCCAAACAAACAAAGTGTGGAATAAACTACCACCTGAAATCTCAAACCAAACCTCCACAGACAACTTTAAGGATGCACTCACTCATGAAGTCCTCCTTAAAACATTCTCTCACCTAAACTAAATGTGCCTATTGTTTTTATCTTTTTACGGAAAAATATATAAAAAAAGTAAAAACTAAAAGTTAAATTAAAATTGTAAATTTTATAAATAAAAAAAAAATTGTAATTAACTTAAAGCAACCTCATACAGGCATGCACCGGAAAGTAATCCTCAAAACGTTGATGGTATTCCGTATATAAAGAAGAAGAGAAGAAAAAGGAGATACCTGTTACCAGGTTACCTATTCTGTTAATTATATCTTTATCAGATGAACCATCTCCAAGTTTAATTCTTGGACTGTGTAGATTCTCTTACTTTAATATCAGTGTCACTAATAGCATTCCTCATACGAATGGTTAAAATATTGCCAAAATATGGTAAACACATTTAAATGGAAGCCTTTAACATGTTTAAGAACAGAGGAAAAGAAATAGATTATGCATGCTATTCAAGATCCAGCATGATCTAATCTACATAGAAGTTAAACAATATCTGACCCCAAACGATCACCTGACAAGAGGTAGAAACTGGTTCTCCAACATGTCCAAAGAAAGAACAACTATAGATGCCTACAGCCAATCTTTCATTCAAAGGACCACCAGGGATTGATATTGGAACAATCAACCAACATTGTTTGTCAACACAGTTGAGGGATTCAGGGGTGCCTTGAAGACATGTCCTGAAACAAACTATGCAACACCAAGATGTGCATAGTTGTAATTGTAAAATATTGCGAACCTTTTTAATGTAAATAGCCAAAAGAGAACTTTCTGGGCAAAGTTTTTGCTTGAAACCAAGTACATTAAAATTTTGAATCCTGTTCCTTACCTGGAAGAAAAAGAACTGAGATTTTCTGATTTTCATATCATACATGTATATATGTATATTCATAATTCCTTTTGGAATTCTGTGTCCAGAGGGATTTTTGATTAGGCTGCCCAATGACCCCCATATCATAGCCACAAAAAGCAGACTGGTGAAAATTCATACAATTTACCATGCCTTGAATTGGTGATTTTTTTCATGGACAGAAACTTACTGTATTACCAAAGCTTGTTGGCACTGAAAAGTTGACAGATTTGCCTTTTAGAGCATGCATGTTAAACTATGTTTTACTGTATTTTTCAGAAGTAACACATTAGCAGCAACAAGCAGTAATAAATTTATCAGATTGTTTTCCTACAGTAACTTAGCTACCAAAGGAAGTATTGATGGTATGATATGAATAAGATGTAATATGGGGTATACATCAACAGAGAGCAACCATATGTAAAATAAAACACAATAGAATGAAGCGGTAAAATAGACAAACATCTATGCAATATGTCAAGCACTACCAAAATCAATACAGGGAATGAATAAATTTAACAGAGACTGTAAAGGAGCCGCCAAAACACCAAATTCCATAAATGACAAAAACATGTAAGATTCAGAAAAAGACAACCACAAACAAGGTTCCAACTTATGGTCTCCAGGGGGCCGTGGCGTGTTGGCAGAATGGTACAAGTAGTCGAACTACTGTATCACTAACCTGTCAACACTGAGACTGTGAGTTTGAATCCCGCACGTGGCAGCTGTGCTCAGATGCAATCTTAATTGACTAGGATTGTCAGTTTTCCTACCGAAGGTCAGTAGTTTCTCAGGACACTTAGACTTCCTCCACCAATAAAAACGGACTGCCACGAAATAGCCCAATAGTGCTGAGAGTGGCATTAAACACCAATCAATCAATCTAAATCTAACACAGTTGTGAATGAATTTATCATAGACTATCAAAGACCTCCAAACCTCACCAAATTCCCCCACTGACCAAAACATTATATAATTAAGATTAAGCAAAGACAACCATTGACATAGTTCCTGACTTGGGACAGGCACAAGTGAAACAAGGTTTTACGGTACATTAGACATGTTAGATGATACATTAAAAAGACTGATCTTAAATGATGCAGTGGTTGACTTGATTTTAACAGGTGGTTACAGTTTAACTAGTTTTTACACGAGTTGACACCTATATTTAAAGACTATTTTGTAGGACACAGTGGCCTAATTACAGGTGGCACAGTTTAAGTAGTTTTTACATGAGTTGACACTAATATAAGACTGTCTTGTAGGTCACAGTGGCCTAATTACTGGTGTGAAGTTTGCCAATACAGAGAGTGATATTTTGTTTTCATCATCTGAAGATAAAACTATTAAGTAAGTACATCCACTTCATTTGAACTTTTGTGGATAGTTGCCTCTATGGCAATCAGACCACATCTCCTTATTTTTAAATTAACCTATATTATTGGAGTTTCATAATTTTCATAAACCTGATCTTATGATAGTTTTAAACTTGTATCACTGAGTCAAAGATCATATGGGCTTTTGTCATCACTTGCAACCTTTTGTCAATCGTAAAAACTATGAAAATTTACAAAATCTGGAAGCAGTTGAGACCAGACTATGTAGAAATGTTCCATAAAACATTTTGGCTGCAGTTTGATAACAAATATGACATAGGCTGCCAATAAAGGAAAGATTGGAAATTCAAAAGACTTTTCTTGAAAACCCCTGAACAAGATTAGACTAAATATCACAGAAAGATACCTTTTATGGGAATTGGGTTAAATAGTTTGTGCCAATAGTCAAACTGAAATGAATGTCAGTGGGGGACTATTTCTACAGTAAAAATGTAGACAAATCTTCTTAATGAAAACTGCTAGCATTGAACATAATGAAAAAGAAAAGATTTACTCTGAAGTCTTTCTTTTAAAACTAAATACGACAGACATGTTTTCTGTATGCTTACTTAGGGTTGTTTCTTTGTAACTAATCAGCCAAATCATTTTCATTTGCAATGGGAATCTTGATTAACATAATGCTAATTGTTTAATTGGAACCTAATAATAGTACATGTATATACAATACAACTTTCTTCTCTAGCAGGAACAACTAAATAAAAGAAAGAGATATGATACAAATGTTTTAGCATGATACCTAGTAATATTAAAACAAAGAGGTGTGGTTTGATTGCAAAGTCTACTTACTAAGGTGTTGATCTACCATCCAATATGGCAACCAGCAGTGACTTTATCTGTTTATGGTTGATAGATAGATAGGAAAGCGTTTAACATTAAGTTTTTATAATAAGTATGTCATTTTCATGTAATTATTAATTAAGCTATATATCTGGTGGTTGATGAAATACCTTTTTATACCCCGCTGTAAAAAAGTGGTGGTATACTGTTTTATCTCTGTCTGTTCATCCATTAGTCCATCTGTCCTTCTGTCCCATGAATATTTTTCGTCGCATCTTTCTCAGGAACTACAATACAAGGATTTCTGAAATTTGGTTTCAGGGTTTATATAAGTTAGCTATACCGTGTGATGCGTTTTCAAATTCATCACTCAACAACTTCCTGTTTACTGAAATATTTGGGCGGGGTATCATCAGTGAACAGTAGCTCGCAGTTTAATTTGTTCTTTTAAATTTTTATTTATTTACAGATGCTGGGATGTGAGAACAGATCTTAAAAAGCCAGTTTCTGTATTTGAAGGTAATATTTAATAGTTGTCCATAGAACAAAGTACATAATATGTACATGTAGTACACCCTTAAAAAGGCTACATATATATATATAGTATGCTGTACATGATAGTTTGATAGATTAATAGTTGATGTTTAATATAACTTTCAGCACCCTTGGCATAATGGAAGCCAATTTTTATTTGTGGAGGAAGCATGAGTACCCTGAGGGAACTACAACCTTCAACAGGAACACTAGCAATCTTGGTCAACAATGATCAGGGTTGAACACCCCTTGCCACCAGTAAGGTTTGAACTCACAACCTCCGTGTTTACAGGCCAGCGATCACTGTAGATGGATTACTTAGACCACTCAGCCACCAAGGTCCTGCTGTACCCGTCAAATAAAATCAAGTCAAAGAAGCTTTATTATATCTATTGTTACAAAGTTGAGGCCAATATAATGTTTTAACCTTTTAAGTCGTTTGTTCTTTACAGGCACTTCTGCTTCCAACACCAATAAAAACTGGCCACCACAATATTGCAAAGAATATTGAAAGTGGTGTTAACCACCAACAATCAATCAGTTAGTCCATCTGTCTTTGTTATTGCATTCAGTAGATGCAGTATGATTGCCATTTTGTTATCACTTCATTATTTACTTGTAATTTCTACCATTTTTGGAGCAAAGACATATTTGTTAGGGACAGAAATTTGGCCTTACAGCAATTCTCCTAGGTACAGGTGCAAGTGTTTAAATATTTTGTCATAATTAAGAGGCCATATAGCATGTATAGTGATATGAATTTGAATAAATCTTTGATTATAGTCAAATACTATACATACAGAAATTATTTTTTTCAAGACATTAAGAAAGGAGAAATCTTTATTTGTGTTGGATTTGAGTGCATTTAGAATTTAAAAAAATAATAGTTCTGAGGATTTGTTAGATAATTATATGCACATTACAGATAGTTTATAAGCCTAAAACTGACTTTCAAGCAGTTCTGTGATTAGATCTTTTTCTTTTGTAATCAATGCAAAAGAACATAAAATGTCAGGTCATTAAAGATTGCATATTTTAGCTTTAATATTGATTCACTCATAGGGTCTTTGCATTGGAAATAAACACATTTATTCTAAAACCAGTTGTTGGCATGACACGGGTTATGTTCTTCTCATATATTTTATGATGGTATAATACTAAAACCCTAACAGGAGGGATTGTGCCTGATATTCATATGATGAAGACATAATCTTTCAATCAGTTTAATTGAGGTCTGGAGCTGGCATGTCAGTAACTGCTAGTAGTCTGTTGTTATTTTTGTATCATTGTCATTTTGTTTATTTTCTTTTGTTTCCTATTCTGACATCGGACTCGGACTTCTCTTAAACTGAGTTTTACTGTGCGTACTGTTGTACGTTTGTTTTTTCTACATTGGCTAGAGGTATAGGGGGAGGGTTGAGATCTCAAAAAACATGTTTAACCCCGCCGCATTTTTGCGCCTGTCCCAAGCCTCTGGCCTTTGTTAGTCTTGTATCATTTTTAATTTTAGTTTCTTGTGTATAATTTGGAGTTTAGTATGACGTCCATTATCACTGAACTAGTATACATATTTGTTTAGGGGCCAGCTGAAGGACGCCTCCGGGTGCGGGAGTTTCTCGCTGCATTAAAGACCCATTGGTGGCCTTCGGCTGTTGTCTGCTCTATGGTTGGGTTGTTGTCTCTTTGACACATTCCCCATTTCCATTCTCAATTTTATTGAGATAAAAAATGTTTTTTGTTGAATATGAAGAAAATAAGATGTAGAGCTCAGTATATATCAATGAGACAGCAACCCAACATTATAAAACATAAAAAAAAACGAAATTGTTTCCAGAACCATTCATGCCAACACACCAGTTCTAGGAGGGAGTCCCTCTTTTTCCTTTTAAAATTTGAAATCTCTTTCTTTTGGTACTGTCTCCTGCAAGGAAGGTCAATAACTCTCTTTGACAAAAAATCACCATATTTTCAGCCGTTTTTATCATTTGAGTGTTTTTGATAATATTTTCTGTGTTTGTTTTTCACTGTATTGTAAAAGCAATGCTTAATTGCTCATTGAAAAGACATCTTAAGTCGTCAAGAATGTTGTTTCAACTATTAATTAAATCCATGTATAGATATTTAAATTTTTGGTGATGAGCTGAAATATTAAAATACTTTGGATTCAATATTATTTGTTGGATACCAATTTTCGTGGATTTCGTGGGTACAGGTGAACCACGAATTTAAATATTCAATGAATTGCAAATTTACTATAGGTTTGTATGCAGGCTTTGACAAAACCACAAAAATCAAATATCCATGAAAATACAGGCATTCCTGAATCCACAAAAAACTGGTACCCATGAAAAATAAATGAATCCATAGTACCGCTACTTCCTATTTTCTTACACATCTTTGAATGAAAAAATGTTGTTGTGCATTATCTCCCCCTTAGAGGAGCTGTAAAGGGGAGATCTTCCATTTTGTAACTCTGAAAGTTTGGCAAGTATGCAGAGCTTTGATTGTATTTTCAGGTTATGAGGAATCTAATAACATATTTACAAGTTTTGATGTAAGCTGTAATGACAGAGTTATATGTGCTGGCTGTGCTCAGAATAAAAAGTCAGAAGATGTACATTTACTGTTTTGGTAAGTGTTTTGATGTAAGCTGTAATGACAGAGTTATATGTGCTGGCTGTGCTCAAAATAAAAAGTCAGAAGATGTACATTTACTGTTTTGGTAAGTGTTTTGATGTAAGCTGTAATGACAGAGTTATATGTGCTGGCTGTGCTCAAAATAAAAAGTCAGAAGATGTACATTTACTGTTTTGGTAAGTGTTTTGATGTAAGCTGTAATGACAGAGTTATATGTGCGGACTGTGCTCAGAATAAAAAGTCAGAAGATGTACATTTACTGTTTTGGTAAGTGTTTTGATGTAAGCTGTAATGACAGAGTTATATGTGCTGGCTGTGCTCAAAATAAAAAGTCAGAAGATGTACATTTACTGTTTTGGTAAGTGTTTTGATGTAAGCTGTAATGACAGAGTTATATGTGCTAGCTGTGCTCAAAATAAAAAGTCAGAAGATGTACATTTACTGTTTTGGTAAGTGTTTTGATGTAAGCTGTAATGACAGAGTTATATGTGCGGACTGTGCTCAGAATAAAAAGTCAGAAGATGTACATTTACTGTTTTGGTAAGTGTTTTGATGTAAGCTGTAATGACAAGAGTTATATGTGCGGACTGTGCTCAGAATAAAAAGTCAGAAGATGTACATTTACTGTTTTGGTAAGTGTTTTGATGTAAGCTGTAATGACAGAGTTATATGTGCTGGCTGTGCTCAGAATAAAAAGTCAGAAGATGTACATTTACTGTTTTGGTAAGTGTTTTGATGTAAGCTGTAATGACAGAGTTATATGTGCTAGCTGTGCTCAGAATAAAAAGTCAGAAGATGTACATTTACTGTTTTGGTAAGTGTTTTGATGTAAGTTGTAATGACAGAGTTATATGTGCTGGCTGTGCTCAAAATAAAAAAGTCAGAAGATGTACATTTACTGTTTTGGTAAGTTATACCTCCCAATGGTGAAAGCAGATCTAGTAACTGCTCGTCTCCATCTGTCCGTCTGCCCTCTGGAATGACCATTGATAGAAACTTTCGTCAAAGTTTTCATGGCTTACATTAAAGGATATGATCAGTTATGCTTCAGTATACATGTTACCTCAATCAATTGCATGCATTGCCCCATGTCCAGACCTGATATTGGTCTTGGTTTAATTTCACACAATATTGTGAAATAGCAATAAAATAAAATGGGAACCCCATTTTCCTTTTAATTTTTTTTAAGTAATTGATCTTAATAATATCTACCCCGAAAATCATAAATTTACAAAGATATTTTTTTCCCCGAAAGAAGGAAATTGCCTTATCATGCTTATATAATCTGTTTAAAATTGTTAAATGTTGAACTCCTTATCTCTTGAAATAAGCAGATTACTCTTTTAGGTCATTTTTTAGTAGCAATAAACAAAAAAACTATGTCAATTGGACATGCTTTGATACTATATATGCCCTTGAATTTTTACTAGATAACATTTTTGTTCGCTTTGGAGATTCCGTATATCGTCAGGTTATCGGAATTCCAATGGGAACTAACTGTGCACCACTTATTGCGGACCTTTTTTTGTATTGCTATGAGTTACAATTTATGACAAAAATCAGCAAAGACCCATCGAAACAACATCTGATACACAAATTTAATAATACTTTTAGATATTTGGATGATATTTTGGCTCTCAATAATGACGACTTCAGTATGTATACTAAAGGAATTTATCCTGTTGAACTTACTTTAAATAAAGCTAATACTAACAATGACCACTGCCCTTTCCTCGATCTTGATATCTATATCATTAACGGAAAGCTTAATACTAAAATATATGATAAAAGAGATGATTTTTCATTTCCTATCGTTAATTATCCATTTTTAGATGGTGACGTTCCCTTGTCACCATCTTACGGTGTTTATATATCTCAACTTGTACGATTCGCTCGTGTATGTAACAATGTTTTAGATTTTAACGAGAGAAATTTATGTATTACTGAAAAATTATTACACCAGGATTTTCGATATCACAAACTAGTCAAAACATTTACTAAATTTTATCATCGGTATAAGGACATCATTCGTAAATATAGCTCAACATGCAGACTTCTTATACGTTCAGGTATTTCACATCCAATTTTTTATGGAAATATTCTTTATAAAGCACAAAAATGTCAGTATTCACCTCTGAAGCTAACAAAACCTTTAAATAGACTTATTAAGAAGGGATATAGTTACGATACTGTTGTCAGGTCATTAAAGATTGCATATTTTGGCGTTAATATTGATTCACTTATAGGGTCTTTGCATCGGCACTAAACACATTTATTTAAAAACCAGTTGTTGGCATGACACGGGTTATGTTCTTCTCATATATGTTATGATGGTATGATACTAAACCCCTAACGGGAAGGATTGTGCCTGATATTCATATGATGAAGACATAATCTTTCAATCAGTTTAATTGAAGTCTGGAGCTGGCATGTCAGTTAACTGCTAGTAGTCTGTTGTTATTTATGTATTATTGTCATTTTGTTTATTTTCTTTGGTTACATCTTCTGACATCAGACTCGGACTTCTCTTGAACTGAATTTTAATGTGCGTATTGTTATGCGTTTACTTTTCTACATTGGCTAGAGGTATAGGGGGAGGGTTGAGATCTCATAAACATGTTTAACCCCGCCGCATTTTTGCGCCTGTCCCAAGTCAGGAGCCTCTAGCCTGTTAGTCTTGTATTATTTTTAATTTTAGTTTCTTGTGTACAATTTGGAGTTTAGTATGGCGTTCATTATCACTGAACTAGTATATATATTTGTTTAGGGGCCAGCTGAAGGACGCCTTGGGTGCGGGAATTTCTCGCTGCATTGAAGACCTGTTGGTGACCTTCTGCTGTTGTCTGTTCTATGGTCGGGTTGTTGTCTCTTTAACACATTCCCCATTTCCATTCTCAATTTTATAACCTATTTTGGATTAACCTTAAGAAATATATATGCATTAAACTCTAAAATTTTTCAAATTCTATAGTTAGTGTCTTAATGCCCAGTGTCTACTGTAGATTTTAAATTGATTGACATTTAGTTTTGTTTGACCATTGTAGGGATAGAAGAGGAAAAGAATTATTAGGATGTTATAGTGATTCACATCAAGATGACATTACACAGGTATATATAGACATATTTTCGTTTGGGGAAAACAGGTATATTGTCTCTGGCTAGTCAGCTATATTTCAATCTCTTTTCTTCCTGTGTTTTGTGAGTATGCACAACATAGTTTAGTGAATGACCATTCTGTAACAATAGAATGATTTTCTTTCAAGACGACCAGCATACCAGCCAGGAATTGAACACAAGATAATTGGCACAATAAGCCACCTCAATACCAATTGAGCTGAAGGTGAACTCCACTAGCACAGCTAATTGAGGGCAGTTATATTTTTACTTGGTCAAGGGTATATACGTAGTACCCCTACACCCCCCCCCCCCCCCCCACTACTTGAGTCATTGTGGGCATATTAGTGGGAGCCCCAGTTGTAATATATCTCAGATATTCTAAATGATTTGTATGTGTATAGCCATACTTTTCAAGAAAACAATATTATTACAAATTACACAAATTGCAGAAAGTAGAGCATGATGAATGGATTGATCTATTCTGCCTTATAATTTTATGGACAAAGGGAAGTAAGAAATATTTCTTTTTATAAGTTAATATTTAAATTGAAAGCAATCTTTGTTCATTAACTTTAAACTGAAAAATATTTAATATGGGTTTACCATGATTTCCTTTTCTGTAATGTATTTGGATGGTACTTACTATCATGCCATAACCAAGTGATAAAACAGGCATTATTACATGTATTCACAACCATCATTCAGGGAGCATTAGTTGACACTTTGAGTTATGTATAATTCCTACTCAAAGATGCTGGCATTATTACTGATTATAATAATATCTGAAAATTGACATAACAAGTATAAGCAGGGTTCTTGTTGTTTAGGTATGTTTCCATCCGACAGAACCTGACACATTATCAACAGGATCAACCGATGGTTTGGTTTGTGTGTTTGATATAGGTCAACCAACTGAAGATGATGCTATAGTTCTTACACTAAATTCAGAATCATCTGTGGTTAGTATTGGTTTGTCAGCTGTTTAGTTTTTTAGGATTGCATAAAAATGAGATTTTTTTAATACTGCTTTCACATGCAGTAAATATAGCCTATAGCATGAAAATAAGAAGATGTGGTTTGATTGTCAATGAGACAACTTTTCATCAGAGACCAAATGATGTAGAAGTTAGCTACTATAGATCACTATATGGCCTTCAACAATGATCAAAACCAATACTGTTCAGCAAGCTATTAAAGGCCCCAAGATGGCAAAATGTAAAACAATACAAAGAGAAAACAAATGGCCTGTACAAAACAATAAACAAAAAACTAATTTTATATACAGCAACAAACAACAACCACTAAATTACAGGGTTCTGTCTGTAGCAGTTAAAAGCAAATAAAAACACAAAAAGACTGTCAAAACTAACTTAAGCCATTCATATTATCTTTAATCATTATTGTTGAATTATTTACAACTGATAACTCGTAAAAACCTGAATAATGTGAAACATGTTTTGAAGGTGTAATACCACCAAATCATAGTACGTCACATCCGGTTGCATACGAAAATAGGTCGAAAAAAAATATTCCCTTGAATTTGACAGTTGTAGGTAATTGATCCTACATTTCATTGCAGTAAAACATTTCTGGGTCATAAACATATATCTTGGGTATTTCAAAGCACCATTATTTTTTTATTTGGGGTTTCTATAGAATATTTTGGAAACTTGAGGTTACATGGTTACTAAAGCTTGTATACAGGTTAAAAAAGGGGGAAAATTTGATTGGTTAACTTCCAGTGATGGTTATTTTCTTATATGCAATGAAATGTTATGTGAAATTTTTTCTATAGTACTGGACAGGATCAAACTTTACTCATGCCAAGTATTTCTTTATTTGAAACAAAGATAAATTCTGCACAATTTTTTGAAAAGTGCAAATTTAACAAAGACTAATAGGGGAAAATCAATGGTGGTATTACACCTAATATAGGAAGCTGTACATGCACCTTTGACCTTGTGAGTACTCTCATGTGTTAAAATTTCTTGCTATTTAAGTGAAATATTACTAATAATGAAATATTCTGAGTGGATTGAGTCTCCAAAACACATTTTATGAGAAAATTTCCTTGAAATAGGACTTTACCATGAATATTAGTTGACAGAATAAGCCATACTTAGAGTTTTGGGGAGCTTTTTCTCCTTTTTTCTTATATTCTGCTATACTAGAAAAAATTTTCCTAAGAAATACTTTAATAAATATATAGTTTTAAGTAAATGAAATTATTTTTAAAGCAGTAACAACAAATTATTCACCAAAAGAGAAGCTTTTTATGTCCCTCTCTGGAACGCGGCGTAAATTTAAGTTTTACGTAAGGACTTATTGAAACCTCCTTGGAGACAGTAAACTTTTATACGGATAGTTCATTCAGCTTGAATACTTCAAAAATCATTTATTATAACATTTCTATCATAAATGAGTGAAAGTTACCCCAAAATTTTTATTTATTGGCCTATAAAGTAGAAATTTTGAGGAAATGAGAGGTATAAATGGACCAGAAGAGACCTTATAAGGAAGACAAAGAGGTCCATTGGTAGTATTTATCATCCTAAAGTCATCTTTTGTATCATATTCAACTGTTTGTAGGCAGATGAGATAAATATTTGATCATTTATTGGTCCACACTATATTCTATCATGATGCGGCTTGGTTTGGATTTTTCGAAGAAATTTAGCTCGAATCGCTGCAGATGTCGTCTTACATTATACTAGATTTTTCTCAAACTATTGAACTGATTATGACAAAACTTGACAGGAATGCTTGAAATAACCAGTATAACAAAGGAAAAAAGTCACATTCAGTTTATTTAACAAAAAAGTCTTCTTTAGGTGTAATACCACCAAATCATAGTACGTCACATCCGGTTGCATACGAAAATAGGTCGAAAAAAAAATATTCCCTTGAATTTGACAGTTGTAGGTAATTGATCCTACATTTCATTGCAGTAAAACATTTCTGGGTCATAAACATATATCTTGGGTATTTCAAAGCACCATTATTTTTTTATTTGGGGTTTCTATAGAATATTTTGGAAACTTGAGGTTACATGGTTACTAAAGCTTGTATACAGGTTAAAAAAGGGGGAAAATTTGATTGGTTAACTTCCAGTGATGGTTATTTTCTTATATGCAATGAAATGTTATGTGAAATTTTTTCTATAGTACTGGACAGGATCAAACTTTACTCATGCCAAGTATTTCTTTATTTGAAACAAAGATAAATTCTGCACAATTTTTTGAAAAGTGCAAATTTAACAAAGACTAATAGGGGAAAATCAATGGTGGTATTACACCTTGAAGCAAGGATGTTGTTTGAGTTGTGGGATTGCTGTGTTATTGACAAATTCTCCCTATCTCTTACAGCTTAGGCCCGAGAACACAGTTATTTCGTAGTGCATTTCTTTTAGACAATAAATTCAAATTAAAAAAATCGCACCTGCTCTATCTCAAAAAGATTTTTACAGTGTAGTGTACTACTATCGATACAAATAATATCAAAATTATAGAAACTTCTACCAGCTCTAACTCAAAATATTGACAATTCTGTGTTAAGGGGGGCTAAAATTCAGTTTGACAGCTTCAGACATTCTAATTTTTGACCTTTTTTAACTGGACCAAATCACTACTTAACATAAAGATTCAGCACCCAAATTTTTTTAACATGTAATTTCATCCCCTTACTTAATATTTCATGCATAAAATATCAAGAAATAAATTGGGAAAGTGTATAAAAAAAAAATGCAAGTTATACACTGTTCACACTAGGGACTATATTTGTAGACAACGAAAACCAAAGGACGATAACTGTGTCCTTGGACCAGCCTTACTTGTACATATTGATCATGAATAAGTAGTGACTCCTTGTACTTGCACTTATGTGTTATTTAAATTACCAGTTATGATTTTTTGTACTGTAAATTCAAATTTCATGGATTTATTATTGTGAATTTTGAAGAATGAACAATAATGCAAAATTAATTATTGCGATTTCAAGAAAATCTTCATATAGATATATGTATCAGATATACAATGCAAGTGCTTATTATTGGTATACTCACCCAGTTGCATTATTCGCATAAATAAAAACTTGCTTTTATATATATAAATTTCTGAATTTACAGTACATTTTATTGTTTATCTGCAACATTCAAATTTGTTTTCTTTGTTTATCGCTTAATCTTTAATTACAGGATAAAATTGGTTGGCATGGTAACAATTTATACTGTGTGACACATATAGATACATTCTACTTATGGGACACAAAAAAGGTAAATATGTGTTCTTTTATTTTTACATGTATATTGGGACCCACATACAAGGAATTGAAATTTTTTCACAACTTGAATTTGTCATCCCTTTGCTGAACATCTTTTTTGTTTCCTACAGGAATTGTTTGAGATTTTTTGGCATGCCATGACATCAAAATTGTATAAATTGCATTTCTGTTTAAAAAGTAAATGATTTATTTGAAGGTCTAGATTTTTTTAAAAGCTGAAAAATATAAATCATTTTAATGAAAAGAGAAGGTATATTAGAGCCCTTTTTGAGTCCTTGTCCTTTGAAAATCACAAAGTATTTTTAAATTTATCAACTAACATCATTCAGATGTTCACAAGGTATATAAGCATTAATATACATGCATTTTGTTTGACAAATTTGCTTCAGGCTTTCAAACTTCTTTCATTTATTAAAGGCAATATTGCTGAACCTTTCTTAATTTAGAGATCATTTTTATGCCCTTGTCACTGCGGAGGGGGCATTAAGTGTTGCCCTTGTCTGTCTGTACATCCCAAAAATGGTTTCTGTTCTGGGGACATCACCTGTATCCCATGGACACATTCTCCATTTATTTAGGTAAGATATCTAAATATTAATGGAAAGCAACAGTCTTACCCAAATTGATATCTTTCTAAAAGATGTTTTATACAAAGATGTTGATGTTTTATCATATTATACCCCACTTATGGAGTCTGTGTTATACTGCAACACTTTGTTTGTCTGTCTGTCCATCAATCTTTTTTGTATCCAGTTTCTGTATGAAGGTATGATTTGATATTTGGTCTTGAAATTCAGAAAACAGTCAAACCTTTTATAATAATATATTAATCAAAAACAAGTTTTATCAGGTCATCCTCTCCTCTTTCTACTGTTATTAATACCAAAGCAGTTTCAACCATTTAAGACAATACAGATCTGCCATGCAGTCACTTCCTGTTTAACAATACTTATTTTATAATTTTGTTTATACCCACTGAGGATGGAATTTGTGTACAATTATGTTACAGTGACATCACAAACGATATTTCTGCTCTAAAGTTATCATCCTGTTCATTTAAAAAGCAAGACTCAGACATACTGTTTCTAGAGAAGGTGGATCCAACAATTGTTAAAGATTGTGATTAGGTCATACGGCAAGACATCTATGTGTTTATCATTGAAAGGAGGAGGGGCATTAAGGGCCGGTTTTGGTCCAAGAAAATAGTTTTTGAGAACTGTTTCAAATATGCAAATAAAATTTGGAAATGCATAAAATCAAGAAATATAAAAGAATTACATAAGATTTTTAATGTTATGACGTCACAATTACGTCATAATATAAATCGTTTTCATGAAAATGAAGAAAACTGCAGAATTTATGCAGTTTTCAGTTGTTATTTCCATTGTGGAAACATCGTGCACATCCAAGAAACAACTAAATAATTTAAGAGAAGTCTTATAACTATTGACATAATCTCACCAAATATAAAGTTGTTTCTTAGGTGCACACATACTTTTCTAATCTAATATATACTTACAAAATTACAGATTTCATCATGGTTTGTTGCCATGGTAACTCGTTAAATGTGAAATTTGTTTTTATTTTCTGAACACCTTGTACTTTAGTGTAGTTTGGACAAATTTCAGAATATGTGTAGAAACTTTTTAATTTGCACTAATATTTGGGCCAAATAAAGGCCTTATTGCCCCTACTCCTTTATTTACAAAGAATTGAAAAATGATGCTGTTTTATTTCAAACATGGCTCTGATTGTGCCACCTGCCTTCCAGTAGCCTTTTCTGCCTACTTGAATAGGTTACTTTTGGAATAGAGATTTGAAAATTGTGTTTCATATTAATAAACAAAGATCAATATTTGTAAACAAACCAGTGTAGTTTTCATCTGACAAAAAATTTCCAAACATTCAAGTACATGTATCATATGTATGGTATCCTTACATTACCATGGATCATAGTTGATATTTTCAGGTGCTTTCCTCAAGGAGTAGGTAATATATTAATAACTTGTGTGTACCTATTTTCAGGAGGAAGATTTATTGGTACTTACAGATATCAAAGACAAAGACAACTTGCAGGTAGAGAGACAGTTTTTTTTTATAAAAATAGTACCCCATAGCTATATTATTGAGCTCTGACAGCTCTGCTGAAAATCTGACAACATGGCTTTGAGACTTTAAAAAGAATTCTGTGCTATGGAATTTTAATGGTTTTCAACCATTTGGAGCATGTCTCAAGATAAATTTTCATCTCACCTGAGCTATTAGTATGATTAGGGTCATGTAAGCTGTTTCCAGGGTTTAAGCTAGGATTTTGAGGGCTTTAGTCACTTTTGCGCGAGATGAAAATCAACATTATTTTGGGTAACAGCAAGGGACCAAGGATGTATGTATATTACTAACTATACATCTTTGTCAGACTTTGAAGGACTAATTGCAGGATTTGACTGATGTGTCACTCAAATATGAAGATTAGGATATAAGATCTGAAAATCTAGTTCAAAATTTTACTTCAATTAGTTTCAGGGGACATTCCTGATCAACAAAAGTTGGGTTCCTTTTTTTTTATAAAAACCAGGAATCACAGTATAAATGAACTTGTTGAACTTTGTAAGACTATTACACTGCATAATCATTATCCTTATAAGACGTTTAAATCGATATTTTGAATTAATTTCTATAAAGTTGGAACCAAGGATTTGTACAAATTCACATGGAACGATTCCAATAACTGTAAATTAATCGAGAATTGATCACGTTTACTTTCGATTTTCATATGAAATGTAAACGGGAAGTGACAAGTAGATAATAAATTCAGAATGAATCCGGATTCATCTACGGATTGGTTCGTGTTTAAAAAAAAGGCAGGAAATTATCATTTTTTTTATTTCAATTTGCTTAGTAAGAACTATATTTGTCTCTCTCATTTATTTTGGCACTAAATTTATTTCGTATTTTACGTTTTAGTGTCTATAAATTCATAGGAATACTTTCACGCAGTATATCGTAAAGAAAGCACCTGTTGGACTCGTTGATGATGATGGAAGTTTTTAACGTGAAAACATTTCTGAACGTTTTGAATAAAGATCTATCTTTTTAATCGAAATTGAATGTTTTATGTCAAAGATGACGAAAATACGATCATCTGACGAAACTACGACGAACGAACTGCAAGTTATGATCGTTTTAGAAATATTGAAATTAAAAAGCGAATTGTCTGGGGGAAAACAATTTTGTTCAAATGACGAAACTATGACAAAAGAAATGCAAATTGTGGTCGTTGGCCTTGAGAAATATTGAAATTAAATTGCAGACTGACTAATTTTACTGGGGAAAATAATTAACCGGATTAGTGACCCATCCGATGGCGATAAGCGGATTAGCTGTAATCACAACTTTATAACACCTGTTGTAAATGTTAATTAGCTGAGGGTCATAAACTTTTCAGAAATATGTAATACAGGTAGAACTATAGTATTTTCATGCGAAAATATTTTTACACTTTCCAAATTTAAGTGACGAAATTGATTTGAAATACTTTCATCATTTTGAAAACAGTTTCGTAAATTACGAAAGTGACGAGCGCTAGAAAAATCACTGCTGTTTCAATCAGTTGTGGTCCTTCATCATCAGAAACTTTAAAATAAAATTCCTCTGAACCCACAATATGACACCAAACTTGGCCACAATTATCCTTAGGATATTTTTTTAATACCATCTAACCTCCTGACATGGCTGCTGTAACAAGGAATAGAAGATTGGGATCAAGTCTATTTAATTATCAATTAGTCTGAAGTTATGCAACTTATTACTTGAATGAAATGGTCCTGAATATAAACTTAAATATTCATCTAGAAAATTTCTATAGCGGGAGATCACCCACTTTGGAGATTAGAAAAGTTGATTGATTGATTGTTTGATAAAAGTCTAGTCACAATAAAGGACAAGAACATTTTTTTTTTTTTAATTTTTTTTTTTAATTTTAATTTTTATTATTTTCAAGAATTACAACAAATACAACACATCAAACATACATACAGAAATATTAGCAATACATTTGAATATCTATTTATTTATAACAATAAACATTGTTGTAAATTCATTTTTATGTATATATGAAAAGAGAATAGAATTACGGAAAGTAAAGGATAATTTGAGTTAAATGTGTATGTACCACATGAGAAGGGTAAAGTATTTTATGAAAAAGGAAGAGGTTAAAAAATATCCTGTAATATTTCAGTACATAATAAATTGTGCTGTAAGATAAAATAATATATTATGTTATTTTTGACAATAAGTATTTGTAAAAGAAAAATGACAAAATGAATTATTAAAATAATTCTTTAAATGCATTCCACATGGTATCAAAGTGATCTTGTCTTTTATTTTTGACTGCCATTATTTTTTCTAAATTGTACATATATTTTAGCTGGCACTGAGTGAAAGATCTTTTGAAAAACATCTACTGTTGTATATATATGTTTCATGTATAGAAAAATCAAATTATATGGGTCACCTTTTCGAACTTTTGATATATCTCCAAAAATAAAATTTAACTTATTCAATGGCAGGCTTACCCCACCAGATAAAAACCAATAATCAATATCTTGTAAAAAATTTTGGATCATCTCACAATTCCACAGAATATGTTCAACAGTTTCATCTTCTAATTTACAAAAAGTACATAGAGGGTTATCAATAAGTTTGATTTTACATAAAGATTTATTTGTGGCAAGAATTCTGTGTTTTAATTTGTACTGAAGCTACTGTAGTTTGGTATTGACAGTGACTGTAAAAGGTAGTTTGAATATATGTTTCCAAATGAGATCTTCGCCTAATATTTCACCCCAGTGAATGACAAGAACAAATTAACAATTAATACTAAAGGTAGATTTTGTAAGGTTGGGGTTAACTGGGTTGAACAGCAGGAAATTTGGACTGCCACTGGAAAATGAGGGTGTTTGGGTAGAAAAGTTACCTTGTATCAGACCACCTATAGACCTCTCAGTTGTTGCAAGAGTTCTTTAGTATGTATAAGGCAGCCCCTCATCTTGCATGAGACATCAGATTTAACATCCAAATTCCAATCAGATGTGATTGTGCATTTATACGGGAACAGGTTTAGGCCAGGTGACCATATTTCTATACCCCAGGTAACCCTTGGGTTTTAAGATAGTTTACACCTTTTATTAAACTTTATTGCTTTTCTTGTGAAATAAATATTTTACATCTAGCTTTCTTTGTATTCAATGAAGACATGTGATTAGAACCTAGTACAATTTTATTGGTTCTCCATGTTAATTACAAGTGAACAACAGTTACAAAATCTTCAACATGATGAAGGGGAGGTAACTCCACCATTCCTAAGTTTTGTAATAGACATTAAATATGAATTAAAGAAAAGGAAATTACACGTTAGTCAGTTTTTGTTTTGTATTGTTATCATATTTTAAGTAAAAATGTGAATTAAGTTTCTGGTTTCATGAGAAATTCAACACCTTTATAGAATTATTCAAATTTAGAATGCAATCAAAAGAGAACTTACAATAAAATGTCAATAAAGTAGATATAAGATACAATAAGTGTTGACATTAACATCATTCTATGTTATATCACGTTATATTGAATTCCTTAAAGAAGGGTACAGGAGGTTTATCAATACACATCAAATGCATCATGATTTTTTTTAGGAATTTGCAAAATAGTACACCATAAAATTCTCACGAACTTGAATTTTAGTGTAATTTATTTAAATTTTCAAGAGATTATATTTGAAAGTTATATGGATTTCAGGTTACCATGGTTACTGTCCTTTCTTTATTATTCATCTGCAAATAATTTGTGACAGGAATATTGTATTCCAACATTATATCAATCTGTCCTTAACAGTTAACACTCTGGTAGGTAAAATAGTGCTTCTGTTGTGTCATTAGGCCTCATTAGATTTGCACAGTGCATTGTCATAAAAAGAACAAAATGTCTTACTCTATTTTAATGGACAGTGGTAATAGTCACAGGATGACATAACATACAAAAACCTGAAAGCAAAAAAGGACCTTTTGTTTTCCATATAATGATCATAAAACTTGGTACAGGCTGGATCAAGAAAGTTAAGGAATCCTTTTCAAATTCAAGATATGAGGCTAAAGATCAAATTAACAAAAATGTTGAAAGATAACAAATAGACAATTAGTAGAAAAACCTACCATTGAAAATACCAACAGAGCTTGAGTTACTTTAAACATAATTTATTGTTAAAACAAGAAGAATGACAATGGATGAATTACAAGTTATAGATTTTCAAGGTCTTTTCAATTATTCAATATATTACATAATATATTACACAGTACACATGACACAGAAATGTATGAAATAAAGAGAAAAAATTGCACAACAGTCTTGTGATGTGAAGGAGTGTCTTCATCAGTTCACATGAAACTTTGATCAGTACTTATTCATGGCAAAACCATAATAAGGTTATATGTCATGTTCTCAACTTGTTCCACTGTAGTGGAAGGGCGCATTAAGGTTTACCCTTGTCGGTATGTACATATGTCCATACGTACGTCCCGAAATTGACTTCAGTTCTCTAACTTTAGTTTGCCTCAACCAAATGTTAAGAAACTTATACACAATGCTTATTACCACAAAACTCAAATCAAGTTCGAATTTGGGTGGTGTTACTTTTACCGTTCTGGAGTTATGCCCCTTGATAAAGTTACATGCAAGCGGAGGCATCATATGTGTCCCATGAACACATTCTCCATTTATTTTTTAAAAGTAGTCATTTTAAATAGGTGAAGTCAGAAGGGGCACCTAAATTAAGCCAGTATCAAATTGAAATGTTAAAAGAGACCATATCAGATCTGTTACAAGTCCAGAGACTAGTTGAAGCTAAAATGAAGAACCCTCAGCTCCTGCCTCCATCTATATTGTGTAAGAAGTGTATACAACCTCAAATGCCTTACTTTGTATACAATCAGGGTTACTTGTATCTCACAAAATACATCATTAAACAGGCCATGTACAAGAACAAAATTTTACTCACACAAAGGCACAGCCTAAATCAGATTTAGGTT